CGGCGGCTCTTGCCGAGCGACTGCACCTCGCTTTCGGCCTTGCCCTGCGCCGCGAGTTTTTCTTTATCGGATTCGGAGAGCACGGGGTACACGTCGATGCCGACGCGCATCTCCTCGCCGCGCATGAGCAGCACGTTCAGGAAGCCCGCGGACGCGACGGCCGCGAACGGCACCAGACGGCCGAGGATCAGCTTTGTCGAGGGCGATACGCGCTTTAGGCGCGGCACGAGGGAGTTTAGGCCTACGGCTACGGAGCAGGAGGCGCCGACGGCGAGGAAGTAGGATTGCGCGAGTTTGGAGTAGGAGAGCGGGGTCGATTTGTTGGCGTTCGCGTTGTTGATGGCTACGTTCAGCGACTGGTTTGTGATTTGCCAAAGGACGGTGCCGGTGTTCTGGATGCGCCGTGCGATGAGGTTAGCTTGCTGTGTTTTTTTGCGGCGCAGAGGTGAAGAGGAGCGCGTACCGAGAGACCTGGCGTGAGCATTCCTGCTGTCACGACCAAGTTCGACAGCGCGAAGCACGACATGCGGAAGGGCAGGAAGACGGGCTTGCCGGTGTCTAAAGCGCATCGCATCGCATCCAGTTAGAACTCAATGTACTTAATTTCCAGCGTCGCAAACTGAGTCGCGCAGGAGAAAGGGATGCGGGCTCGTTGCCGTACCGGGATGTATCGTCGAGTCGACGATCTTCTTCGCCCGCCATAGCTCTGGCGTCATCTCCTTGATCTCGCCCTGTTTATATGCCATGATCAACCGCTTCGCATCTTCGAGGCCGCGCTTGCCGACCAGTAGGGTCCTATATAGCGCGACGAAACAGAAATGTCAGCAGATGTTATTCTACTCGAGACGCATTATCGCAATAAATATAAAAATAAAAATACTCACCTCGGATCGGTGATGCTGGCAGTATGGCGCACGCGACCCCAGTACGTGCCCAGGTCATACTGCGACTCGGGCAGCTCCCGATTGCCAGGTAGGGAGGCCGACATGATTAAGGTTGTGTCGCCGTCGTCGGCGTTGAACTGCCCTTGCCGAGCACACCTGCTACGGCTGCTACTGAACGAAAGGAATGGTGATGCGCCTTCGTAAGGACGCAATTAGTTCGTAGCCGTGAAAGACTAAGAAAGATACAAGGCTGGCCGGTTGAGAGACATATTGATTGGACTGGCCGAGATCGGGACCTGCCCACTACTAATCTATGTACCTAGATTCGCAGATTTGCCCCCCACTAGCCGCCGTTATCCGTCCGCGCCATTATAGCCGATATGGGTATTGTCCACATCTTGCCGATTCTACAGTGTTGCGGTTGATTAGGTTGTTATAAGTGTGTAGCACGAAATCTAGCGAAAATGGGAAAACTGGTGTGGAGATTCTATGACATGCCATAAAGTTGCAACGTACCTACGTGAATACATACATAATACAGCAACCCATTGGCACGTACGCACGAACTATCGAACCTTGTTGTAGGCAGGTACGGCCTACCCATTGTATATAGCGTAACTAGTGCTAGGGCACTGGGCCTCCTCCAACACCTCTACAATAGGGAAGAAAAAAAAGAGACGATGCAACCTAGCTTCCCAGAGCAATCAGCCTATCCAACCAGATCTTCTTCGCAGCATCTGTGCTACCAAAGAGTGTCATAATGGACTCTTTAGTCGAGCTGAAGGGGGTAGGGACGCAAAGGGACTTGGTATAATAGAATAGCTGTTGAAGCGGATTAGGTGCTTTATCAGATATACAAAAGGAATACATAGGTGCGTACGGAAGGGAGGCTATATATAGGTAATCTAAGTGGGCCCTGGTCTAGCCCAGGATGTAAGGCATCGAACAGAGGGATTGATAAACCCAGTGGATATTTTTGAATATTTTTTTTTCGGTTATTGGCCTGTTTTCTTTTCCTTACCAACGGCCGCTTTGCTTTTATAGGAGCTAATTATCACGTGCGGTGTCGTCTGTCTTGAGACGACGAACGCCGCCCGCCTCTCCGTTTGCTGCTGTGGCTACAACGTAATGTGTATGAACATTCATGATCTTTTGCAGGGTAGTTGTAGGACAGAAATTACCTCTTTGCCTCGCAAGTTGGACATAGCCTGTTCTCTTCGGTTGTAGTCTTAGTTGAATCATCCACTCTCTTTTCCTTTGGGCAAGGAAGATAGTGACTAGCCTTGTCCATATCAGCTTGGCTTGGCTTTTCTGGGCACATATCGAGTAATCCAGGAATATTACTGCGAGCATAGTGACCGCAGGTTCTATAAAACGTTCTCCCGTATATATACGTACACATTGCAGCTCCAAAGAGGAAGAAACAAGACGTGAAGATTGGCTGGGCTCTGCCTAACTAAGATCGTTAGGGAAGGTGATTTTCTATGAGAGGAGGTCGCAAACGGCCGGCTGCAAGGCTTTGGATTGTTCTTCTCAGCTCCCCCGCGGGAAATAACAGGTACACGGGGGTGTTGAAATGGGAATATGTAGAGCTCGAACATGTACCAGGAGATCTCGAAGGTCAAAATGTGATATGAAGCAAGAATGTAGGCGTGATAGGTTAGCGAAATGGGCTATATCCCCTTCGTGGCAAGCAGGCAGTGCATTTGGCGATAGGAAACAGAAGGGGAAGTATTTTGTGGCTTGGTTCCCGCCGATGAGGGGAACTGTTTGCGCTTACTTTTTCTGCCTGACAAATATGCAAATCTGACAGCATTCGGCCTGAAAGAGAGAGAGAGAGAGAGAGAGAGAGAGAGCCTCGCACCCCCAAACTCAGCGAATGGTGGTCGAAAGCATGGCTCGTACGCCGAGGAGAACGACCCCTAACCTGAAATTCATCAATAAGTGCGACGGCCCCGCCACAGCCGATATTCCGGACACACTATGGCGAGTCTCAGCATTCTTTGCCGGGTTTGCCAGGATGCTTTATATACAGAAAGGGACTCCTTTGAAAAGTCACAAGATGTTGGCATCTATCAGAACCATCACCCGACGCTGGATTCGTTTCGCTGTGCAGTGACACAAAAGTGCTTTATGTGCCGTACGGTATATGACAATGTAAATTATCAAGCACAAAACCTATTAACAGAAGGTCACGTCGAGACTGCTTCAACAAAGTATCTAGTGCGCACTAAGCGGGACCTACGGGTTCTGCAGATCGCGGTGATCTTCCTCGCAGGGCGAAACATGATAGAGACAAAACTTCAGTTGCTTCCGACGAGTGGTGTGTGCCAGATATGCAGGCTCAGTCCAGAATACGGCACTAAGGGACCAGCGCTGATTCTTTCACGATATCGTAGATCCTACAAGCATTCGCTTCTTTCCTCACCTTCAGCTTGACGCAGATACCTCCTCGTCCACTACACTGGACCTGGCCGTGCACTGGTATCAGTCCTGTTGCGGTAGCCATCCCATCTGCATTCGCCAATCACAGCGCTGCCCGCGTTGGCTGCCGCGTCGGTTGCTAGACATTGGGAGCCAAGGGGAGACGTGCTGGAGGCTCGTCTTAGCCTCGCAAGACGGTATTGCGCCTGCGCCCTATGCTACGCTGAGCTATCGATGGGGACCACCCGACCGGGCCTTTAGGCTTCTCCGCTCGACACTCGACGACTTCCGCGGGGGACAGCAGCGGATCTCGGATCTGCCCCGAACCTTTCAAGACGCCATCGTCGTGGCCCGGCGGCTGTCTATTCGGTATCTATGGATCGACGCGCTCTGCATCGTCCAGGATGCGTATGAAGACAAGGCACGCGAGATTCCCCAGATGCGATCTATCTATAGTAATGCGGCATGCAATCTGGCCGCCTCCGCGTCTGAGGGTCCGCACGATGGCCTCTTCCGGGCGAGAGACACGGCGGCCGTCGCGCCGGGGTTAGTCAAAGCTCACGATGAGATGCACCATGTCGTCGACATGAGCTATCGGGACCGGCAGATCCTCAGCGGGCCTCTACATAGAAGAGGATGGGTCTTCCAGGAACGCCTTTTGTCGACCCGCGTACTCTACTTCGGCCAGTCACAAATCTTTTGGGAGTGCCTCTTGGAGCTCAAGTGTGAGGGCTTTCCCCAGGGCATGCCGCAGTCTTTTCGCACAGCAAAGGACTTAGAGCCGCTCTGGCAGATGTGTAATACAAGGCGGTCATCATCGTCACCGCAAAATGGCCCGGGGAATGGCCCACCGGGGGACCGGGCCATTTCCATGCCCGCGCTGCGCCTGTGGAACAGCCTCATCCGCGAGTACTCGAACTGCGCCTTGACAGTCCCTGACGACAGGCTCTCGGCGTTTTTCCGGCGTTGCCGACCTCTTCCGGGAAGTTACCGTGTACCAGTATCTGGCCGGCCTATGGCGGTCAAACCTCCTGCATCTGCTGGACTGGTGGGTGCAGAAGCCGCGCAGCAGAGCGTCTGAAGAGCATCGCGCACCTTCGTGGTCCTGGGTAAGTGTAGATGGACCTATCCGTCCGCGCTTTGCCATCGCGGAATCCGCATTCCTAGTCTTGGTCTCCGCAGTAGAAATACTACCGGACAACAGCACGGCACCAGGCAATGTGTGTCTGCGCCTCGTGGGCAGCTTGAGCTCGAGCTTGTCAACCCAGCACAAGCGACCAATGCGCTGCGTCTCACATCCCGATACTCTAGAGATCACGTTAGGCGTACCCGGGCCGTTTTACTTTTTTCCCTTGCAGACATCTCGCTATGAGGCTCTCCCCCGTTCTCCAGGACAATGGGACACAGAAGTGTCTTGTCTGCTTCTCGAGCCTGTGCTCTGTACGGTGCCGGTCGTGTATCGACGAGTCGGCCACTGCACTGTGACCGAAGCTGACGACATCTCGAGACTTGGCCTTCAGATAGATGAGAGCGGATTGGCGAGTAGTCAGGGTGGTGGTTCAGAGACTATAGAAATAGCAATCATCTAACGAAGACCGCCGGATCCTAGATATAAATATTGGTTTAGTATCTTCGACGGCCTGAGAGCCAGGTAGTTTAACCTCTTGACTAAGCCGTAAAAAATAAATCAAATGACCCCGGCAGGGGTCGAACCTGCAATCTCCTGATAAATCACGTGACCCTCACGTGATGTGATGGCCGCAATCGTAGTCAGACGCCTTGCCATTGGGCCACGAGGCCTGTACCTTTGGTTTGTTGCCTCGCCGAAAGCATCCGATACTTCTTTCTCGGGAGTGTGCTAGTCTTAGAGATTCCGAGTAGCGCTTTGAGAGACAAAGAGATTTGCAGACTGTCATTATGTACGCCGTTCATAGGTCATCGATGGGTAGATGGGTGGCTGATGATTGTCGGACGGTTCGGGCAAGAGAAGCGGTTGGCAGCTTTTGCCGTTTCAACAGGGTGATCGCTTTACTATGATATAAAGGGGAAGATCAGTATTAGTTGATTGGCTTGAATAGAGATGCATATCTCTCTATGAGTCTAACAGTTTATATGAAGCGCTTGGGTATAAAACCAAACCATTAGCTATCGAATACAGAAAAACACCGAAGTTCGTTTCTCGCTCGCAGGATATTCGAATACCATTTTGATTGGCCGTGAATATGACTACCATCGTGACAATCTGGAGTACCATTCAGCAACACTTTCGCGTCACGATAGCTTACAAGTAAGTCTTAAGATCGCTGTGCCATGTATCTATAAGGGAGAGCATGAGCGGGAGACTGGTAACCCTAAAAGGCGGCAGAGCTGAAGGAGTGTTGAAATGCCTGGTGACCAGGCTGTCTGAATTTCTATAATTGGATATCACATAACTATATACAGTAGAAGATTTAAGAGTCACCGTGGACTTCAACGCTTAGGGGATTCTTCCCACAAGGTTGTCAGCAAACGTCCAGTCTTTCGACCCATCCCAGTTGATCGACCAAGTCATCAAGCCCTTAAGTGCCCCATTGTAGTGATCCCAGGCCTGTCCAACCAGATCAGGGGTCATATAACCACCACCGGCCCCTGATTGTGCAGGTAGGCCAGGGACCTGCATGTCATAAGGAAGTTTGATTGTGGTGCCCTGGACAGTCAAACCGTTGTTCAAGCAATCGGTCTGGGCAATGAAACCCTCGACAGTGCCGGCTGCGTACGAATCACCCGAGCAGCCATACATTTCGCCATTGTAGTATTGCATGTTCAACCACCACAAGCGACCATTGTCGACGTACTTCTTGATGATGGGAAGGTAGGATCCCCAGATAGATCCGTATGTCACAGAGCCGCCCGTGACGTACGCCGTCTCAGGCGCCATGGTCAGACCAAAGTTGGCAGGCATCTCTGCAAGAACGCCATCGATAATACGGATAAGATTCGATTGAGATGTAGACAGCGTGTTGATGTCGCCGCTTCCGGTCAAGCCAGATTCGATGTCGATGTCAAGGCCGTCAAAGTTGTACTGTTTCAGGATCGGGACAATGGTCGAGATGAACTTATCAGCGACGGCACTCGATGAGAGATCGATGGCCGCTGTGGCACCTCCGATTGACAGCATAATCGTAGCGCCGGCCGCTTTGGCCGCACACATCTCGGCGGGAGTGGCAACTTTAACGCCAGTGTCTATGCCATCCGCCCATTCTGCCGTACCGTCTGGCAGGATGACGGGAAAGGCCGCCTGTATGACGTTGTATCCGTGATCTTGGATTTCAGGGTTGTTGATCGGCGTCCAGCCGAACCCGGGGTGGACTCCGTTGGACGATCCGTCCCAGTTCTCCCAGTAGCCTTGGAGGACCTTGCCCGCCGGCTTACCCTTAGTAGCACATGTGTCCTGAGCCAGTGCCGGCAGGGCGCCGAATAGAGTCGATACCACGGCTGGGAGCAGGACAAGGCCTGCGGCATCTAGAATACGTGTCATTGTTTAAAAAGAGTCGACAAGGAATGAAATGCTTATGCTGGAAGATTAACTAGTTCAACACGATGCTTCTAGAATCTGTGTGTTCATAGTCGGGCATAGAGCATGTACTTATATGTTGCACAGCTTCAGCCGCCTTACCCATTGTCTCACCATTCAACCACGCGTGGGATTGCTAAGTTATTAGGTAGTATGAGACTCATTTGGCAGGTGATGGTTCACATGGTCTTATCAATAGAGTACGTAAGTGCGGCCAACATACCATAAGTTGGCGGTAGTCAACGAAGTGCAACGTAGCATGGTGGTTAGGACCTGTTGCCCAGAAATAGTCAAACAGAGTTCAATCCTCATGACTGGGCGAGGTCGTATTGATTCATCAGAGTAGGGGGAGCCGGCGCCTAATCCAAGACAACCAGCGACACGTTTTTGATTAGAGGTTTATGGGAATACAAGCAGTATTCAAGGATAGTAGTCGTCGCATGGACCACATAGCCTGGCAAGGCATGTGACATTGGCGCGAAACATCTCCATTGATTAGCTAGTTTCTACTACCTACCTAGTCCAGGTAGTTAACCCCATCCTGGTCAGCCCCCCTGACCAAAGTAGGCAGTTGACATCGCGTTAGCGGATTCCTTAACTGCGATTGCCAAGAGTGATCTGCAACACCTGGCAATGTTGTGTCTTAGCCGGTACTTGAACAGGCGTGCTAAATTGACTGTTTTAGTATATATTCCAGGCACATGCTACATAGATCCTCATGGCATGAGATGGCGGGGACGGGCAGGGACAAGTTCGGTTCGAAACCCGGCGGGAACCAGCCCGCGGAAAATAATCAACCATGATACAGCTGTACACATAGGGCATAGATCCTACTTTACGCAGAGTGGTTTTGTGCTCTTGGATAGTAATTCACCGAACGAAAAGCCGTACATTCTGGTCCGCCAACCACACTATCAGAAAGATTGTGATAAGACAGGTGTTCCAACATTTCGAGAGTACCGGAGCAGCGGGACGGAGCTTACTCCAATTCTTCCCCCACACGGCATTACTCTGAGCGATACCGGAATAGTCCAGGCTGTCGAAATGGGTATGAAGACGAACGCGAAATCGCATATGTCCGCAGACGGTTAGGAATTCTAATATTCAGCGGTAACTATAGTAGCTAGAACAAAAGCAGGCAGCAAGTATATTACCACGCAAGTGCTGACTAATGAGGCGAACAAAGTTGGATGGCACTGCTGATGATAACAAGGCGCTGGTGTCCCTTTCAATGCTTGCCCAGTGACGTTCTCCAACTATGACTCGTGCCTTGTGACAAAGTGTCTTCAGAAGAAAGCATCAACAACACAATCACATTTCAACAAACTCTGAAGGTAGATGTTAGATAGTAATCATGTACATGCCCCGCCTCGAGTAGGGAAGCTTTTTCATGGTTCCTCATCAATGAAGGTGGGAGGTAAGTAACTGAAAGTGCCTTATCCATGCTGGAGATAAGAGTTGGCCTTACGGTCAAGACCGTCTTCGGGAGGATATATGATCACGCAGAGCGGGTTGTGTAAGAAAAAACGCTCGGTCCTACTAACATTTTTACCACTACTAATACTGAGCGTTTTTTGTTACATCACCTGCAGAGTACGCTGAGATGGTGTTATGCCCCTACCCTAAGATAGATAAGGACACTGCAAGGTATGATATACCCCTCGAACTACCTGGGCACACATAGATGATGTGCCAAAAGCTCAATCCAAGTGCAGGGTCTTATTTTGGTATCATTCGGGAAGCCACTATAGCAACTGACATCTGGGTTGCTGAGAAAAAGAAACGCGTTGCGTCCTAGGCGACCGCGTCGTACTTGTCACCCTATATTGTAACGTGATATACAATGAACCTACTCGCGAGCATGTTAGTGGTGCTCCCTAGGTAGGAACGACGAGTCGAGACCTACAATAAGCATATCGGATTATTCCTTAGGACCTAGTCGGGGAAGCAGTGTGTCTCCTAGGACTTGCTTCAGTGTACTTTAGCTTACTAATAGACAACTCACAAGTATGGGCATATTGGGTATACTAAAAACACTGAAGTTAGCAACCAAGCCATTTTTCTTACAGTTTGACTCGTAATAAGAACCCGACTGTAATACCGAGCCTGGCCACGATAGAAGCTCGATCGCAGCCCAGTCCAGCATGACGTCACTTTTCAGATCGTTCACTACATAAGGCTTGCTTGGCATGAAGTAAAACGTGGCATACCAGGGCCTAGATCAGCCAATCCAACTATCTGGACTCAGTTAGACGGATGGTTTGGCGCTCATACACCGCAATACAGCTCCATACTCCATACAAAGGAGTGACTGCGCCACATATTAGCCACACTTGTGATCCCCTATTTTAAGCGAGCTACCTTGCCTGTGTGACGGTAAGAAGGTAGGCATTGCACGACACTGATGGCCAATTTGTAACAGTCTAAAAGGCTAATGGTTTTGACAGTTTAATCGTGTCAGAGGAAAAGTAGTTGCAGGAAATTCACCCGGAAAGTTTTGAATGTTACTAAGAACAAACTTATTATGGCATTGAATGAGGACAACAGTGTCCTTAGAGGCCTAGCGAGAGCCACTGTAAGTAGATGAAATCATGTAAGTCTAAAAGTTGAGCAAGCAAGGATGCTTTCCTCATCCTAGAGTAGGGAAACCTGTTGGGCCATGTCGGATAGATGGAGCGACGCAAACACTCCCATGTTTGACATAGAAACATCACCTTCCTTGTCTTGAGCCAGGATTGATACGTGCATGCTCAGGCAGAATACCTACCGTTGAATTGACCTATTTGTATCAGCTTTCGCTGTCTCCCCAAGTCTCAGTTCTAGTTGAGCTCTATGGCAAGTGATATGGCATGAGCTGGTGTTCGCCGGAATCTAAAAACATAGGGATGCATATCAACACATTTGACGGCTAAAATACCTCTCATAATGACTGGCAAATGTAGAAGCCAATGATACCTTCCATAGTACTAGCTGCTGACTGATAGTCAAGTTAATAGAATTCGTATCCGGAATTAAGCATTGACGCAATATTCCGAACCTATACCCTATTGACACCTCTGCAATATGAGAGAACGGCTAGACAATGTTAATATAATCCACCTCTCCGGGACCCGGGAATAAGTAACCGTGGAGATTCTCTGTTCATGCTAGGACAAGGCGTTGGTCGGGGGCCAGAAGCTTGACGGGTACTGGGGAAGGGCAAGCTTGTGAAGGATGGTAAGCTTCAATAGATGTATTGCACTATATG